CTAGTCTGGGATTGGGAGCTTATGAACGATATCAATTTAGGCAGAGACCATCTAAGGAGGTCAAAGAAGATGAAGTAACCCTTACCTTGCCCCCCGAGAATGCCTGGATAATGACCCTTGCAATTGAGCCCTCAGCCATGCAAGCCCCAGAGTGGAGCTAGTGGAAGGACAAAAGGAGGGTTAAAAAGCAGCTTTGCTGGACAGTGTTGGCCCAGGGATTTAAAAATTCCCCCCACCCTTTTTGGCCAGGCCCTGGCCAGAGATTTGGAGGAGTGGGACAATGAGAACAAGGTCCTCCTCCTGCAATATGTAGATGACTTGTTAATTGCCGCTGTGGGTCTAACCCCTTGCCTTAAAGCCACTGTGAGCCTCCTGAACTTTGCTGGACTCCGAGGATATCGAGTAGCACGGAGTAAGGCTCAAATTGGCCTCCCAGAAGAACAATACTTAGGGTTTCACATAAGGCAGGGGGAGCGTCAGCTTTCAAACGAAAGGAAGGAAGCTATCTGCCAAGTTCCTATCCCAAGCAATCGTAAATGGCTTAGGGCGTTTCTGGGTATGGCGGGCTTCTGCAAAATATGGATCCCATAGTTTGGACTGTGGGCTAAACCCTTGTATGAATGCGTTAAGGGAGCGGATCACGACCTCTTTCACTGGTCCTCAGAAGCCGACAAGGCATTTAAGGTTTTAAAAAGGAAAGCTATTGGACACCAGAGGTTGTACCAAGTGGAATCCTCAAAAGTAGGTGTGTTCGTCCTAGTTTGTTGCTCCAAAGCTCTGTATAGAAGTTATTTTACTGGAAGGGTGTATAATGGCAATGTGTATGTGTTCATTGTTGGGAAAAGGTGTATGAGTGAAGAGTGGAAGTTTCCTTTGTAGGTTAAAAGAAGCCAAGAAGGGGAGAAGGAAAAAGAACAGAATGAGTTAACTGGAAAATATAGCTAGCAAGCTCAGTCCAAAGATAAGATGCTGGCCCCATCCAAGGACATTGTTCACAGCTAAGACTTGGCTGACAACCAAGAAAAGGGGGGCCTGAATGGGCCCAAGCAACTATGAGATCTGCAAAATACTGCCAGGCATTAATGAAACGTGTTAAGTTTCTTTTCTCACAGATAAAAGAAGTGCTAACCAAAGACCCTAGCAGCCCTGCCATTCATTGAAACAAGGAGACTGAGTCTACGTAAAGTCCATCAACGAAAGACTGCTTTGGCTCCACACTGGAAAGGCCCTTTCTAAGTCCTGTTAACCACCAACACCGCTGTGAAGTGCCAAGGACTGCCTACCTGGACCCATGCTTCTCACTGTAAAAAGACCCCTCCACCTTGGGAGAACTCTCCGACTGATGATAAGCCTATTTCTCCTTCTAGCTCTGCTGTGCCTTCTGGACAGCAGGAAAAAAAAAAAGGACAAGGTGAAGTGCTAGTAACCTCTCCCTTGTCCACTGACAGACCTACTGTGCCTTTGGATTTTTCTAAAAGAAGCAAAACCATTACAGGGTGATGGGCTAGTAACCTCTCCTTGTATGATGCTGAACCACACTGTTTCAGGAAAAGAAAAGAAAATAAGGAACACTTGCTTCATTGAAACCACAAAGTCCAGGAATTCCTGACTACAAAAGACATTAAGAACTGACCCTGGTGAAGAAACAAAGAATTATACACTGGCAGGGAGGCTCTTACCCAGCTTATGAGTAAATATTTTCTAACCTCTGGACTTAGACTCATAGCATCCCAGGTACAGGCTGAATGTCTGCTCTGCCAAAAGAATAACCCTTGACTGGGAGTGTCAGTGCCACCAGCCACTCTGAAACCTACCCCAGGCCAAGAATTGGTTTGGCAAATAGATTTTACTGAGTTCCCCCGAACCCAAGGGTTCAGATACCTCCTCGTCTTGGTGGATTGATTCAGTGGATGGCCCGAAGCCTTCCCATGCCGTAACAACACTGCCAAAACGGTGGCCCTCAAATTTGCCAAGGAGATCATTCCCCGCTTCGGGCTCCCCCAGTGGATGAAATCTGACAACGGAACACACTTCACGTCACAAGTCGTTCAAAAGATATCGGATGCCCTACATATCCCCTGGAAGCTCCACACGCCATGGCGACCGCAGGCCAGTGGGGTAGTGGAGCGTACAAATCAGACTCTTAAGCGACACCTCTCAAAGGTCTGTCAGGAGGCTTCTCTTCGATGGCCTGATGCTTTGCCCCTCGTTTTGCTTCGCGTCTGCGCTCTCCCTAAGGGCAGGTTAGGGCTCAATCCCTTCGAGATTATGTTTGGAAGGGCATGGCCTCTGAACGGTACACTGGTTCTGGCAGGGGAATGGGAAATGGGGTACGGTTTCTTATCTCAGTACATGTGCTCTCTGTCTGCTGTTCTTTCTTCTCTCCACAGGTACACCAAAGATTCACAGCCTCTTCCGCTGGATGCCCCGATCCACTCCTTGCTGCCAGGCGATTCCGTACTCGTTCGGACCTGAAAGGACGAGACTCTCCAAGAGCGGTGGAAGGGACCCCACACTGTCCTGTTGGTTTCCCATACAGCAGCAAAGGTTGAAGGACACAAAAAACTGGATCCATCACTCCCGTCTGAAAGCAGTGCCCGCTCCTGAACAGTGGACTGTCGAGACTGCTGAAAAAACTTCAAGCGACGATCTGGGACTTAAACTGTTATTTAAGCGACAATAAGGTTTGCTGGGAATGTCTTGTGCTCCCTTTGGACAGTCGCAGCACACTCTCTGCGAGAACTCTGAGCATTGGTTGTGTTTATTTTCACAGGGCCGGCCTAACCTGGTGGCCTGGTCCCTTTTGTTTTAATCTGCCCGCTATTGGTAATTGTTATTTTGTGGGTATTTGGGGAATTGTAATTCTTAGACCCCATGGTCACCTGCCCAAAATGGAATCAGGTCCAGTGTCTGCCACTGTGTTACTCTTTGCCATAAGGGCACTCCTCTCATTGACTCCCGTTCCCCCCCAGGCACATGCGGGATGAAGAGGAATCCCTATCAACTTAGAAACAAATACGTATGAGGCCCTGAAGGTTTGCTTTGCCCAAGAGTTTAACCTCTCTAACGCTGGGTTTGTGCCCAGATCCCACATCACGCTGCTGGGTTGCCCTGGAGAGTTGTTCCCCCAAATTGGTCAGACTTCTGTCAAAGGTGGATGGTAACACTGCTCTACAGCCAAAATGCTTCTGAAATAAATGTAGTCAAACTTTACTAATTCTGGGTCACTGAGAAAGAAAATGATGCTTTAAATTGTTGATTGGCTCTAGTTTTCAAGATATGCTTTTGGGTCAGTATATACGACCCTTGACTTGGGAATGGCGGAGGATAAGTGAGTTATAAAGGGAAGGGATCTCAATTTAAACCAGAAATGACTAAAATACATCTTTGACTGGATCTATGAATAAATCTATGACTGGGTTTGGACAGTACTTGCTTTTTAGGCAAAACAATGAATGATGCAATCTGAAGCTGGTATTGCGTCATACATGATATGAATTGCATCATGTTATTCCTAGAAGTCATGGATGATGCAATCATAACGAAGCTTACATCACTCTGATGAACAAATTGCCCTATATCAGCTCTAGAAATCATACAGTGTCGTGCTCTCTTATTTGTCAGTGTTTGATTTTGCAAAGGGACACATTTCTGTTTCAAAGTGAGCAGAGATGCCTCGTACTTGTGTGAATAGTGCAGATAACTTCTGCTATGTTTGTGGTAAAGTGACTTTGGCAACACAAAAGCCTATCACTTTTATTTTGGCTGCAAAATTGGAGATCAGGACAAGAGGTGGGCCCCACACATA